CAGACACGCCGCTGGCACTAGAGGCACAGCATGGCCGCGTAGTGATGGCCCCGACCACTGCCGCTCGACCTGACCGGAGAAAACCGTAGCAGGAAAGTTAAAAAAAAAATCAATATCTTGATTAGACGTGAACTTAATGATTTTAAAGAAATAAAATATTTTTTTTCAAATCGCACCATCTCGGTAATAGGTAAAAGCTTCTCTTTCTCGTTGGCTTGTTGGAACTATTCGAAGCAGGATGTCTGCAATGATCGCAAATGTTTTATCAATAAAATTATCGTTTTTTTGAGATCTAGGCATCACAAACAGAACTGCCCGGTAAACCGTAGGCAGAGAGAGAGAAGAGGACAACAAACGATACTCTCAGCCTCACTTAACCTCTCTCTGGCTTGTCACTTGGTCACACTACCATGCAACAGCACTTCTAGCCGTAAAAAAAAAAGAAAAAAAAAAAAAAAAGAAAAAAAAACTCTCTCCCACTCGTCACTTGGTCACACTACCATCTTCAAGCTGACCGGCCCCAAGTAATTCAGGAATTATTTGGTTCTGTTCATCTGATTGCACCTGGATTCCAACCCGGGTCTGCATTTCAACTGTTCATCGAGTGTACCGCCAGAGCTAGGCCCTTTTTGGTACTTCAGCAGCCTTTTTCCAGATAGCAAGAGAATGGAATGAAAGATGATGGAAGCTGTGGGCGGCTGTGCTTTTGTATGCCGACGATTCAGCTTCTGTGCCATTGGACTTGCAAACTCGGCAGATCCAGTATCCTGCCGGCTTTGGTCTCTACCTTCTTTTCCCCCCAATACAACGTACGGTCATTATAGCTGTATTTGAGGCATCTTTCAGTCTAGATACAGCTATAATGGCCATACGTTGTATTCCGGCGAAGAAGCTAGCTATTGGGTGCCTGACTACTGGACTACCGTCTTCCCTCGAACACCACCCACCCTCATCATGACTGTATTGGACTGGAAAAATAGCTTGTATGCATTCATGATGAGGGTGTGTTGTGGTGTTGTGTTCGGCGGAAAACGGTAGACTGCACTCAAGCCTACGTTACCCAGAGGACCGAAAACTGCCAGAACTCTGCCTAGGGACCAGATTGACCAAGTACACCCCCCCCCCCCCCCCTTCCCCCCCTCTCCTCCCCCCCCTTCTACACCCTTGACTATGCAGTACTGACATCCAGGTTCCTTGCACCTGGTCCGTCATTGCGAAAACCATCGTCTTCTGGTCCTGGATGGTGCCAGTCTTATCATACAAAAAGAGACGCTTTGAAATTTGAATACACTTTACAGTGAGTGTCTGCCTATACCATCTTCCGGCGAATAGAACATATATGGTCAATAGAGCTGTATTTGGGGTGACTTTCCATCTAGATACAGCGATAACGACCATGCCTCGGTAGTGGCTGAGTGTTACACATCAACAATTGTTGATACACAGATTCAATGTTCCAGTTCTGTCCAGAGTCCAACCGCGTTACAACTTGCGTAACTTATCTTACAGTAGTTTTTATTTTACGCCCCCCCCCCTCCTCCCTCTTCGAGTAGCTACCACCAAGTGACTCATCCAAGTTACTGTGCAGGCAACTAACCCCCTACTGATGTAACTTAAACCAAGTTACATATCCATGTAGCTTGCGCAAGTAACTTGAGGTGAGTTGCTGCTCCCCCATGCAATTACTGTACCGTAGTTTTACCCCCCCTTCGTATAGCTACTACTAACCAAGTAACTGAGATGAGTTACGCAACTAACCAAGTAACTGAGATGCGTAACGCAACTAACCAAGTAACTGAGATGCGTTACGCAACTAAAAACCAAGCTCTGCTGTAATTTTAAAATTTAAACCCTCTTCGGGTAGCTAACCAAGTAACTCCTCAAGCTACTGCGGGGTAACTAACCAAAGTTACCAAATCACTGCTGATGTAACTTAACCAAAGTTACAAAATCACTGCTGGTGTAACTTAACCAAGTTACCACCCATGTAGCTTATGCCAGTAACTGGGGTGGTAAGTTGCAAAAAGTTGCTAACCGCGCAACTTACCCCAGTTATTCCCCCCCTCCCTCCCTCCCTCCCTTCCTCCCTCCCACCCACCCACCCACCCAGCGACGAACCCACCACCCACAAACACCTACGTACACAAGGTAGCTCAGGACGTAACTCACCCTAGTTTCTAGACAGTGAACTGACAAAATTACTAAACTCACCCATGTGAGTACAGGTACACGCGGAAGTAACCACCAAGTCCATGCGACTGCAGCTTACCCCAAGTTACCTGAGCTACTGCCCAGGTAACGACCCAAGTTAGCGCCGGTGTTACTTATGCAGCCGTTTTGTTCCGCGCCTTGCAGCTTGCGAACTTGGTATAAAGATTCCGCGCCTTGCCGACTTCTGCCCCAGTAATCAATCTGGCTTGGGCGAGAGGAGGGAGGGAGGGAGGGGGAGACAAGAGAGCATGGAAAAGGAGGCAAGAGGAAGGAGGAGGACTCGAAATTGAGGGATGAATAGAGAGGGGGGATGACCTTCATCACCCCCTAGCAACTTGCCAACCTCTTTCCCAGTAATCAATCTGGATGGGGAAGAGGGAGGGAGGGAGGGAGGGAGGGAGGAGAGGACAGAAAGAGAGGCAGAAGGAGGGCGATGGGAACGAAACAGAGGGATGAATAGATGGTGAGGGAGGCCCTCTTCACACTCAATCTGCGAAAATGATCACTCATTTCTTGGTGGATAATAGTTGTCGTTGTCCTCACGACTCACGGGAGAAGGAGAGGGCGGCTGCTCTGCCTCATTTTCACGCTCGCCGTAACTCATTATGGGCTTCATTGCTGGATGCTGATATGCATCTGCACAGAACTGCAGGTCCAGGTCACCGTTCGAAGCGAGATGATTGCCATGGTTCATCACATCCCATGCCGTTGCGCTCTGAAGCATTCACATAAACACAGGTTTTCAATGTTTAAAAAGCTAAAATTTATAAACGTTTATGAAACTTTGAAACTTACAAAACTCGCAAAGCGCTGACTAAGCGAGATTATATGGTCGTCGTTGTTCATAAAATCCCGCGCCATTGCGCTCTGCGGCATTCACAAAAACACAGTTTTGGGATTTTTTTGGAGTTTGTTATAAAACTTCAAAAGCCTTAACTAAGTTAAAAAAGTTTAAAAAGTTAGAAAAGTCAAAGCCTTAACTAAGTTAAAAAAGTTTAAAAAGTTAGAAAAGTCAAAAAAGTTAAAAAACTTTAAAAACTTAAAAAAAGTTAGAAAACTTAAAAAAAGTTAAAAAAAACTGAATAAAACTTATGGAACTAATAAGCAATTAATTGACTAAGCGAGATGATTGCCATTGTTCATCACATCCCCCATTCCGTTGCGATCTGCGGTCTTTGCAGCATTCACAACAGCACACACACTTTAAAAACTTTAAAAACTTTAAAGAACTTAAAAAGACTTTAAAAACTCAAAAAACTTAAAAAACTTAAAAAAACTTAAAAAAACTTAAAAAACTTTGAAAACTTATTGGAGAAGTTCTGAAACTTTAAAACCTTTAAAAAGTAATAAAAACTTATAAAACTTATTGGAGAGTCTACTGCAAATTTATTTGAAATTATTTCTAATTAAATGTGGCTGCCGCAAATACTCGGGCTTTAGATGCCGTACCTCTTTACTTTATACATTAAAAAAAAAAAAAAAAAAAAAAAAAAACCGTGACAATCAGTCGATGGGAGATTCCAGTCACAAAATTGGAATACAGAAGAAAATTAAACAAATTTGAATCCACTCTTCTTTCCATAGTTGGCATTGTTCCCTACAGCAACCTTAAAACTTAAAAGTGTCTAAAGTTCTAAAGAATCTAAACCCTGATTAGGAAAAAGGCCACCCCTTCTTTATACTTGAGGGTGAGGGGAATAGGAGTTTGATTGTTGAGCATCGGGATGCGCAGGGCGGTGCTTAAACTCTCTCTCTCTCTCTCTCTCTCTCTCTCTCTCTCTCTCTCTCTCTCTCTCTTCCCCGAAGAATGTAGCGCTTTGATTTAAATTATCATCTAATTCCAAAGGAGTTTGTGAACCCATGACCTTTTTTTTTTCTGAACAGTTCCCTGTGTGTATAGTACTGTATAGCATTCAGCCACAGCGGCAACGTAACTCGATTCTTCTCGTTTTCACCGTCTGTTTGCGGAAAGTTTTTGGCCTTTATTGCCTGTGTGTGAGGACGGGGGGCAGGAGGGAGGGGGAAGGGACATCAGTGAAAAAAAAAAAATCAGTAGTCGGGGCAATCAGCACTCCTTTAAAAGTTTAACCTTTATTCTTCTCCTTTTCCAGGTTTGCTTGGGAGTCCTTTGGGACATCCGTTAGAACTTAGAATTGGAATGATCCAGAGAAGGGCAATTAGCAATTTAGCATGGCCCCTGCGCAAGGACGATGATTAAAAGGTTCGCTTGGCTACGTCTGTCTCTTATACACATCTAGATGTGTATAAGAGACAGGGCGACATGATGAATCTGTGTTCTGAGGTTGTTCAAGGTGGTTTACTCTCTGTTGTGATCCTTGGTTCCTTTGTGAATCTGATAGTACCGGAGAGTGGTGGTGAGGGACGTTTTCCTTTTTTTTTTTTTTTTTTTTTTTTTTTTTTTTTTTTGCGGGAGTGTTTGAAAGTATAAAATTACTAAAATGACTGAAATTACTATAAATTGATACGATTCAATTCTTGTGGTTGGTTCACTGGACTTTCACTGTGAAATTGTGTGAATAGATTCATTGTGGTGTGTTGTTTAGAGAAGTTTAGAAGTTTAGACCCTCTCCAAATCTGCTTTGTCACTGTGGCATAAAGCATAACGTGTATGGGGACAGGCTGATGCACTGCTGGATTGCGTTCTCGATCAGTCACAAGACTCACAACAGAGCAGAGTGATAAGGAACGTATTCAATGTATGCAAGCTATTTTCCTGGTCTGATACAGTCCTCATGGACGAGAGGGTCCCCTGGGTTTGGTGTGGAGACTGTAGCTACTATGGCTAATCCAGCAGAAGCTATGGTGGAGTCTGCATCTTGACCTGACGGTTGCCCCGGGGAGTGCCTTCAATGTTTAGTACCCCGATCCCGTCCCACCATCTTGAATACTTGAACTCTACTTGCAACAATGCAAGTTTGAATTTTGCTAAACCTCCAGACTGAGTATGTTTCCCAGCCATTTTTTTTCAGAGACGAGGCGGGGAGGAGGCATGCTGAGGAGGCATGCTGTCACGGCGGGCGGGATGACCGGGGTACCGTTTCGCTGGACATCCATCGAGGCAAAACGGGCCTCGGATGCGAGGCCCATCTCTTTTGCCTGGATGAATTTCCAGTGAAATGGTGCCCCGGTACATCCCGCCCGACATGGCAGCATGCCTGCCGTGTCTCAGAAAAACTGGCTGGGAAATTTAAGGATGGTTTAAAGCGTACTTGCAATGGGCACGTTCTTGAATGCACTTGAACTTATTTACGGCTAGATTCATTCCGACAAATCCCCCACAAGTGTGAGCATATCATTTGAAAGATAGCATCCAGCTCAGGTTGTGCAATCGGCAACCATGATGGCAAGCCCAGTGTTTTGAGAAGGGACAGCTTTTTTTTTTTTTTTTCTTTTTTTTTTAGTAACAAAAAGGCAACGCCCCATCTATTCTGGGGGGCCATCAGTCCAGTTGCTCATCACCGGCAAGCCAAAAGTACATGAGAATTAAAAAAAAAAAAAAAAAAAAAAAAAAAAAAAAAAAAAAAAAA